TCAACGCAGCCGTTAGGAATCCTTCAGCGGCACTCTACCAGTTTGGGATCTACTCTTCTTATTACCACTTCTGGCAATGTGATCATGTCGGGGATAATCCTAGCCGATTTCGAATGACGATCATATCACAGTCCTTTTTATAGACCAGTTTTTCTATAATTGGAAACATCAATTATTTGGTTATGCCGATGGTATGTAAGTTCCCATATCATTTGGGGAATCACATTAGCCCCCTAGTGGATTTGAACCTGGAATCTGTGATACAGACCTATGGCGCTCTAACCACTGAGCTACAGACCCATAGATCAAATAATAGTGTTTATATATTTAATTGTTGCTAAAAAAATTGAAAATATGGATTTTGAAGTAAAATTTATACTAAAGCATGATATAATAAATACTATAATATTGTAAACCTGTAAGTCTATAGTGTAGTGGTTAATACTCCACAAGTCAAATCACAAGATATCAGTTCAACCCCATGTAAGAACGGTTAAATAGAATTAATATGGTACCTGGCGCCATAACCTGTTAAGTGCTGTTTCTCATGAGAAGCCGGTTCACACGCTGATCCAACAGATGTTGAGACTATGATTTCTTATAAAAGATGCTGTGGTCCAGTTGGTATTATGATAATCATTGTTCAGTTTGGTGCAATTCCCAGTTCCACAATAGGTCGTTTCCCTTCCCTATAGTCCATGAGACTATAAGAGAAATATAATATGGAGGGTCACAAAACTGAAAAACTATTCAGCAAAATTTTCAACACACTTCCCTTTAGTATGAGTGATGACTCATTAGCAATACCTACTATTCTTACCTGTAGTGAAGGTACTTAGTTGATAATGATTGCCAGAATGGAAGACTCTCCTTAAAACTTAGCCTGACTTTGGAGGAGTTGCACCCTCTTAAATAAGCAGCCTATGCTTGAAGCCCGGCATTATCTAAAAAGAATTAAATCGTTAACCCCATGTTTAAAGGTATTGAAACAAACTCTGGCCAATAGGTTCTATCCGCTTCCCCAAATAGTAACAATTTAGGTTCATGGTCTTAAATAAGATGAACTACCAGGAGAAGATAGAGACACAGTACTCCGATGTGTAATTTGATTGGTGGTTGGATCTTATTGGAAAGTTTACAAATTTGAGGCTGAAAGATGTAGAAAATAATTGATGCATTTAAATAGTTCTTATAAGTAGGCTGCACCTGAATAGTATACTTGTGGATGAATTCTAATTGTAAGATTTTAAGTGTAAATAAAATATATATAATGTACTGTATGTTATTCATAGCAAAATTAATAAATTAGAGTAAAGGTTACTTGCATTAAAAAAAAAAAAAAAAAAAAGATACTATAATATTGAAAAAATTGGTTGAATTATTCTAGTGGGTTAGAATAGGAATAGTTTCTTTCTTCTAATATTGATATATATTGTAAGTATTATTTAGTTCAATGTTGTTAGATATAGAAAAGTTTAAATTAATAATTGAAATTGTTTAATTATTAGAAGTTTCTATTGAAGAAGTTTATTATTTATATTGGTAACCAATAAGAGGATTTATTTATTATTATACTGATTTCTGATTGGTTGGTAGAAAAGATTTTTTTAATTAGTTTTTTAGTATTGTAGCGATCTGATTTATTGTTTTATGGTTTGGTAGTTAAGCTTCTTATTAAAGATATACCTAATAATATAGCTACAAAAGAGATTAAAAAGTGTAAAGATGATATATTAAGATATTATATATCTTTGAGAATATAAGTTTTCTTACTATTTTAAGTATTCCTAATAATGTTTGTTTTGTTTTATGAAATATGTTTAGAATAGTTCTATTCTTTGTTTAGAACTGTTTAAAGAATAAAGTTTTTAAAACTATTATTTTTTTGAAAATTATTTGAAATAATCTTTGATATTTTATGAACTTGTCAAGGTATTTAATTAGTTTTTTTTTATAAACAGATATTCAAATAGATAAGCTTTTTTTGTTTTAATTAAAAAAAAACTTGATTTGAATAACAAAAGGTTTTCTGTTTTCTTAGTTAAATTGGTAATGAATATAAGCTATCTGGATAAATAGTTTGATAAATATGAGATAATATAAGTATTGGAGAGATTAATAGTAATGATTTTGTTTTGGAAGTTTTAATAGATAATTGAAACTTGCTATTTGTTTTTTTCTATTAAGATTATATCTAACAAAATAGAACATATTGAGAATGATGCATTGTATAATACTGTAATATTAATATGATATATTAGGTAGTTTGAATAATTGGTGCAATTAAAGTAATTATGGGAAGTTTGGAGGTAATATTGTTAATTTTATTGTTTTTGTTTAATAAAGAGAATATATAAAACATATTTTCCTTTATTGTTTTTATTTGTAAAAATATAAAAGATTTGAGTTTGACAAGTTATATATGATACTTTATTAATTTGTTATTATTTATTTGAAGTTAAGATTTGAATTTGATATGATTATATACTATTAATATAATATAATTATATGTATTAATGTGACATGATTATGTATTATTGATCTATTTAAATATTAATATATCTGTTGATATGATTGAGTATTAATATATATAGATATTATTTATTTGTTTATTATTATTGAATATATTTTTAAAGAATATGTTTGTAATATATTGAATTTGAAGGAAGTAAACTGATTGTGATTTTTATGAATTAATAATATATATAATAAGGTTTTGTCTTATTTCTATATATTAGATAGAAAGTTTAGTATTTTTCTAACTCATGAAAAATAATGAGATTGTTTGATTTATTGAATGAGATTTGGCACTTTTTAAGTTTTTATAATATTTAGAAAAAGTATTTAACTTGACATATGACTAAGAATCTTAATGATTCTCTTCAATTTTGTATTTGATTCTCAAGTTTATATTAAATTTAATAAGTAAAATATATCCCATTATTATTTTTAATAGTGTTTTGAACCTTATGTAATTTCCTGTGATTTTGTTCAATTCTAATTTTCAAAACTATATATATGATTGACTATAGTAGTAATAGAAATATTGACTTCTTAAAATCTTACTGTAAATTACTAAATTTGATTTTTATTCTTTTTTTTTATAAGAAAAAGATAAAATAAATATTGTTTACTTATAATATTTATTAATTAACAGAGTTATTATTATTTAAAACAATTATAATATTATATCTATTTGTAATAAAATTTCTTATAATTTAAAATATTTAGTTAAAAAAAATTTGGTTAAGTTTTTTCTTTTGAAAAAAATTTCCAATTAGAAAATTTGGTGATGGATGGAATAGAGTTTTTTATTATTTTTATTTTGTAATATAACTAAAATTAATTATTTAAAAAATTTTTTAATAATATATTTTAAAACTTTATTTAATAAACTTGTTTTTTATATTTTTACATACATCAATACAAATTTTTATTTTATTTAATCAATTATTTATTAAAATATTATAAAAATAAATTTTGATATATTGTTTAATTATTTTTGTTACACACTGTACATTTTTTTTATAAATTTTTTTTTATTTTTTAATTTATTATTAATTAAAATATTAAAAATTTTAAAAAAAATTTCAAAAAGTTTTTCAACACATTATATATATTTAAAAACAAAGATTTATTATATTTTAATAAGTAATATAGTTATTGTATTATACTTATGAGTATTGAATTGAAAAGTTTACTATTAATAAATAATTATATTATATTATTCAATATTATAATATTATATTAATAAAAATTATAATAACTTTTAAAAAAACAATAATAGTAATAACAGAAAAATATTAATTTATATAATAAATATTAATACTTTTTAATAACAATTTACAGTATATATTTTTTTCTAAAAAATTTATTTATATTATATAAAAATAATATAATATATAAAAGACGATATAAAAAATTTTTTTATTTGCAACTTGTAAAATAGGCGGGTTAAAAACGATATTAAGTTACACCATCTAAATCAATCATTGACAAATCTTTTAATCTTTTAACCGAGGTGTAATATATGCAATAGAAACAATCTTGGAAAAATCAATTTTGCGCCCACATAATGCTTCTTAAATTGTACAAAAAATTTTATTTATATAAAAGAACTCTTGCGTCCTCACACCTACCAGTTAAATAATTACATGCGTATTTAGTAATATATTAGTAACAGAACACTTCGAATAATTTCAATTATAACCATGAATACATCACCCAACATGTCGGAAAATACATTATGCGATATAAGTGAGAATATATTGAATAAACATAAGAATATTGTCATTAATGAACGTCCGATACCTGAAACATGGCTAAAGAGGAAATGCAAAGAGTGGGATCCTTCTTTGGTCTTAGCTAATACCGCAAGCGTGGCAAGAGATCACCTAGGTATTTCTTTTGTATAATTTTTATTAGACCAATTTTTATACTAACTTATTTTATTTATGGCATTTACATAGCTAATGAAAGAACATTTCTTGCATGGCTTAGAACTTCTTTATCTTTTATTGGTATTGGAGTAGGTGTGTGAAGTTATAAATTTAATTCTTTTTTTGAAAATAGAACTAACTTACGTACGTTAATTTCAGCGATTACTCAACTGTTCAGGTTGACGGACAGCCGAGCGAATGACTTTAGCAATATTGGAAAACCACTTGGGATAGTGTTTGTTATCCTAGGTATCGTTTTCCTACTGTTTGGTATTTCTCGTTATTTTCATTCACAGAATATGATGACGCAAGGTCAATTTCCTGCTAGTAGAGGTGCAGTTGTACTAGGCGCGATTCTGACCATACTTGCCCTCTTGTCATGCTTCATCATCATTATAATTATTGAAACGAAAAATTGATTTTTATACTTGATCAGCTCGAATAGACATAGGATATTTTATAGAAGCAATTATTGTACTTAAAGTGGGGTATTTGTATTTTATATTTATATTTAGTATGGCTTTGTAAAAAATTTGTAAAACTATTAATAAATAGCTACTGCTATTTTTTTCAAATAAATAAGAATATACATTCAGATTTATTTTAAAATTTTTATAATTAGGCAACTTTTTTTGATCGCATTGAGCGATTATTGTCTATATATAAATCAAATAATAAAAATTGAAACTATATGTATGGATTTATAGATTTTATAAAATATATATAGTAACTCATAATGTTGCAAAAAAAATGGCAAAAAAAATTTTTATAACTGAAATTTTTATAATTATTAAATAAGTATTTATTTTAAAAAAATTTTTAATAAAATTATATCCTTTAAAATATAAATTAAAAATTTTTTTAAAAAAAAATTATTGAATTTATTATCTTGTTCTTTTATTTTACTTTTTAAAATCTTTTTTTAAAAAACAAAACCTATATAAAAATAAATATATATTACTTTTTTTTAAATAAAAATTAAATAGAAACTAAAAAATACAATATAAAATTTTTATTAAAAATTAAAATATCAAATTAAATGATAAATTAATTAATAAAAAAAACTCTCTCCTGATCATGTCCATTTTGTTAAAAATTTTTCTTTTATGGTAATTTTAAGTAAGAAAAAATGTTTTACACTCTTTATCGCAAGTAAGTTTCAGCTCAGAAACTCAAGAACCTTCAAGACAACTGGTGCAGTGGAATGGAACCTCTGGTTGAAGTCTATTCAAGTTTGGGAGTCTTGCTTATTCTTCAGTTGCATGAGGAAAGGCCTATGGCAGTTCTCTTTTCTTCAGTTCTCTTGCACTCCACCTTACCTTTATTATATCATAAAAACTATATATATTATCACCATCATACTCACTAAGTCAAACACTTTCCAAAACACATTTACAAACAGAGTTAGTGGATCTACTGTTTGTTTTAAGTCAACCCACACACACAATATTTT